TTTCGAACATTTTGTATTCAAGGCAGAAAACCTCATAGGCTATGTGTTTCGGCAGCACGCTGAGCAGAATCTTCTCCTGTTTGTCCAGTTCCCTAACGAGCATCATCCTCGTTTCCACGCATTTTCTGTAAAGCTCAGTCGATGAACCGGTGTTTGCAATTGGCGTCAGTTAGATGGAATAGCGTACCTCGTCTCTCGAAACGTCTTCCGTTGCACCAGTTCTAATGGATAAAACACGAAAAAACCGACAATGTTTATAGCAAAGAAAAGAATCGCATGTGTTACAAGCTGGAAAGGGGGACGTGGTTGGTTGAACTTTTCAAATCTCTCTTTGGACCCGTGGAAATCCAATATAACCCTTACCATGATTCCATCGGCATTGTTTATAAGCTGAATAGCGAGACCCGTTGCGGAGACGACAGCAGCTGCCGATGCCTGAAGCAGGGAGGAAAACCTCAATTTTGATTCATCTATGAGTTTTCACATATAAACCAAGAAACCGATGGAAGAGACCCACCGTAGGAATCAAAGGCAGAGGTAGCAGCGTATAGCATAGAAATAGTATTAGCACTGTCAGTGATGAGTGCACTATGTAAGGAGCGCATGCGAGCAGCACCTGCAAAGCTCTGCTTAGCCACTGGCGGTCTTCAGTTTGGAAAATCATTTTTTATTTTTAAATACATTTCCATTTATTGTACTGTTTGTACTTATGCTTGAAACATGCAATCAACAACCAGTTTTTATCGGTTGACGTCCTGGGTGATGGCTTTGCTTAATCCACACGCCTGCCGTTCAGTTAAACGAAACAGCACCAAACAAAAGCTATTCCTGGTGAACTTCCCATAAACCTTTTTTTTCTTCCCACCGCAATCAATCAAAAAATAATGTCTCGAGCTCCCGTTGCTCCGCCTCTTTCAGCTGCTCTTTTACTTTCTGAAATGTCATATTGTCCATCCGACGGTAGCTAAACCACCTGCCTCTACCAATTTCACGTGTGTGTTTCTTCCTTGAGTGCGCCTTTTTTCCGTGACTTTTTTCTTTTTATATTTCCATTTGTTTGCTTACTTCACATTTTTATTTTGTGTCTGCCCACGCGCTGACTGTTTGCCTACTCTACTTCTTCTTCTTCTTCTTATTCTTTAGCGTCTGTCCCGCTTGTAAGCGGGGTCCGCTTTTCTGATGTGCTGACGCCACTTTTCCCGATTAAATGCTTGGTCGGGGTGTATGTTAACCGACTTCAAGTCTGTGTGCAACGTATCGAGCCAGCGCTGTTTCGGGCGTCCCTTAGGCCGTTTTCCGGACACGTCAAGGCTGAAGCTGATCTTACGGACACTGTCATCTTTCGCACGAAGAACATGACCGTACCATCGAAGACGGGCTTCGCGCATCTTGTCGACAATTGGAGCCACCCCGAATCGCTCTCTGATGACATCGTTTCGGAATGTGGTCTACTCGTGTGACTCCGGCTGTCCATCGCAGCATCTTGGTCTCCATCACACTGAGCCGTGCTTCGATCTCTTTAGTCGTAGGCCAGCACTCAGCACCGTAAATCGCGACCGGCCGGATGACGGTCCTATAGATCTTAGATTTGAGACGTTCTGGCATGTTTTTATCGCAGAGAACGCCAGTCATCGAGCGCCATTTCGACCAGGCTGCATTCACGCGAGAATTCGTTTCGAAGACCAGGCTGCCGTCAGACGCGATTGCTGATCCAAGATACTTGAATGATGTTGCACGAGTGAGTTCAGTACCATTGATCTTAATAGAGCCTAACTCACTCGAATCGGTGGTCAAGTACTCAGTCTTCTTAACGTTCAGCTTGAGCCCGAACATAGCTAGACGATCGGACCAGGCTTGTACCTGTTGCTCGAGCGTGCTTTTATCTTCGCTAGCGAGCATCACGTCATCAGCATAAAGAAGTGTCCATGGAGCCGGCTTCTGGAGATCTCTCGTAATGGCATCCATGACGACAACAAATAGGAGTGGGGATAACGCAGAGCCTTGATGTACCCCGACAGAGATGGGAAAATCCATCGATGTTCCTGCTGCCGTTTGCACTCGGCTCTTTGGACTCGAGTAAAGGATGCGCACCCACTCGACGAGCTCTTCAGGCACGCCATGCTGTCGTAAGGCATACCATATAACGTCCGCGGAACGCGGGTTGGGGGCGCGGTCGCGATCGAAAGCCTTCTCCAAGTCTAGAAAGGCAAGATGTATCGGCTTTTGTTTTTCGCGATGCTTTTCTAGCAGAAGGCGAGCGGCGTGTATGGCATCGATAGTGCTGCAACTAGCCACAAAACCACACTGGTTGGTGGTCAGCTCGACGATGTCCCGGATACGGCTATCTACAACTCGCTCAAAGATTTTCATGCTGTGCGAAAGCAGGCGAATTGGACGATAGCTAGTGCAGTCTCCTGGATTGCCCTTCTTCTTCCAGATAGGAATCGTCGTGCTTTGTTGCCAGCTTTCAGGCACCTTCTTTTCTGCAACGATCTGGTTGAAGAACTCCGTCAACCATTCTGCAGGATTCCAGCATTTTGATTTCCACAAGTCCGCCGCTAAGTCGTCAGGGCCAGTTGCTTTGCCTGATTTCATCTTCTTCATGGCCGTGATGGTCTCCTCCACGGTTATCTTCTGAACGGG